CAAACGTTACGCAACTGTCGCTGTTCCTCTCTGTCCTTCTCTCCTTTTTATCTAACCTCGTTACTTGTAGGCAGACCCTGCTCGGAGTAAGCCACTAACTGACTAAGCCTACACAACAGGGCAGTTCCGAGTACTCAGTAGAGTTTGGGGCTGCGGCGCTTCTGTTTTCAAGGTCGACGAGTCGGTGAGAACAGAATGCGGTAGTTGAGACGGACCAACAGCCGTCCGTGCAAACAATGAATGGTGCTAAGCGCAACGCTCTATCGGTCTTCGGCACTGTCACAGTCGATACCAACTATGTAGTTTACCAACTGGCCAAGTGAAATGATCAAGTATTTGCTGCTCAGATTCCGAATTTCGTGAGACAAAGATGATATCCGCCAGTGCAGTGGCACCACAATGTTCTTACTCGTTGTCGTCCACGGCCACCCACAGCTAGCTGCTTGCCGTGCATTGCTGACACTGACAGTACTGCTAGTGGTAATGGTATCCGTGACACCGACACGGATACTCTGCTTTGCACTAACTACCGGTATACCGGCAAACTACCATGCACTATCCGTACCGGCAACCGACTTCCACTCAGAGTACATGTATAATACGTATACATTATACCTCACTCCATATACAAGGCTTCCTGTCTGAAGCCTTTCCATACTGGTACTCGATGTTCCAGTTTTATGACACGAGAATGGCACGAGAATTAGTGTACCGCTGAGTGTACCGCTATACACGTGGTCGACACGTAGTCGACACTTACTGTGACTTAGTTGATACTTTTTTGACACGTGACCCCGTCAACGGTCTGGCTGTTAAGTGATGACGTCACAGTTCCTTCGATACGCATAACAACGATCCCACTGGGGACAAACAAAAGTAGCGTCGTCTCCACCGAACCAGTTGTCAGTGGCAACATATAGGAATCGTGTACATTTCTTCGTTTCTTCTTTGCTGTTTTCAGTGAGTGTTTTGTTTTCTCTTTGTCCTTGATCTCGACGATGTTGTCGTGCTCATTACCTTACTGAGACGTCTCTTGTGACTGTAGCCAGTGTCACGGAGGATTTTATTGGCGTGACAAGGTAGATCGCCGAGATCGAGCGTGAAAAACGCTCTGCATTAGTAGCTCCTGTAGAATGTTTTCTGGGTTGGCGTATCCATGGTCAACAAAACCAAGGTGCAAGACAGCATGAGAGATCGTGTAAACGATGTGAACTCCAAAAGGTAAGCTCCTGAACAAGTGGAAAGATATGGGTATTTACAAACTCTCTCTTCATCCATCGATTGCCGCTATGCATTGCATTTTGTCTTCACAGATAATCTGGCCAAATTTATTGTAACTAGAGAGTGCAATCGTACTTGGGGCCCATTCCAATGTCATCACATGGCTGTGGTGACTAGTGTATATCTGGGAGAATTTTTCCTCGACTGATACGGAGTGCAGGTGGATCGATTATGAGAAATGCGAACATGTGAAGTAAGTAATAATTATTAGTTGTGTCGAAGAAATGTGCAATAAAATAAAATTTACTTTACACTCAAACATACACTGTAGATGTACATGTAACATCATGATAATGATTCCATCTTCATTGTCCCGCAACTACTACACCATACGCACCGAATACATGGTGTGTGTGTGTGTGCGCGCGCGCAAGCGCGCGCATGTACATGCACACACTCTCATGCATGGCCGAGTCGGCCAGATGAACAGACCATGCATTTGCACGAGGTGTCCGTAATGTCATTGGAACGCTGTACTTTATGACTTTATTCCAAAAGAGTATGTCTTGCCCCTGACGAATGGAGTTGTGTCTGTGCTCAGCGGGTATCGGGCTATGACGCAACACTGCAATCAGCGCTGCAATTAAGAGAGCACTGCATGGATTATTTTGACTAACTTCCTTTGCGTTTACTTGGTTGTGGCTGTGGTTTCATTTCTGTGTTCTGTCATAATTGGCCTCTGGAAATAATCAGAGTGTATGTCATTTTGCCATATATGTGTGCCTTGTGCGACAGGTTCAAGGCTAGGTGCACTTCACATTCGGCGTGCGATCTCAGCGTCTGGGACCTGATGAAGTCTTGGTTGGATGATTATTCAAGCCTGACACTACTCGACACACCAATGTACATGTCAATGTAATTTTTCAGAGCTGCACTATTTACGTGTTGATGCTTACTTCGGTGTTAGCGTGTTTCCCCCGGATTGTTTCTATCATCATGATCGTGTGTTCTTGGGCTGAGCGAGCACATGCACAAGTGTGCAGCTATAACCCTGTGTATCTTTGGTTACACTTTGTTCTGCAATGCATGTAACATTATGTGCTTGCACTGCTTTGTCTGGCCTGCATATTTCAGGACTATTCAGTGCATTAGACCCAGGTTTGTTTGGTTGCCAGATGATCTCTTGTTCCGTCGCTCTGTATTTGTATTCATCAATTTTTGGGCTTGAGAACTGAGCTGTTGTGTGGTTCCCAATATGAAAACATCATGCTGGTGCTCTGTGTTTCGATTATCGACTGTCGGAGCAGTCATGCATTTATTAGCAAAACGGTCAACACTGTAGTCTTTTCACTTGTTTGTCTTTTTTGTGTTTTCGCCGGGGGTATTAGCGGTAACGTTGCACACAGAACGGCAGTGTTGCATCACTGGACGACCCTGCCTCTGCATCTGACTTAATTTCCGCAGGATCTGGTGCAGTTACACCAGACAGCCACTTCCTGTAAACACGCAAACAGCAAAAGAAGAGATCCCGCAAATCAGGAAAAACGATTGTGGAAAATATAGAGTAGATCATACAACATTCAATAATCTGGAGTAATTACAGTGAGACAAACACTTCAAACAGTGCTCTCTCTCTCTCTCTCTCTCTCTCTCTCTCTGTCTCCATCCTTCCAAAAATACCCTATGACAATTCCCTAGAATTATTTTATTTTATATTCTACGGACATCGTTCTGAACATAATAAATTCTTCCATGGGTCTTCAATCACCACGGAGGGCGAAAATATATCTAAGTCATGCAGTTTACGGGAGGTGCGAGCTGTCATGGATATAGAGGCTGATATTGTGCCAGCGTGAGGGCAGAGACAGAAAGAAGACACTGATTTCTTGAACAACTCACCTATATATAATCGAATCCACAAGGAGCGCTCATACCTTGATCCATCAGGACGCGAAACATCTTCAAAGCACTCTCAAACACGGAGTTTTACTGTGGGCAGCCAATTTCACAGCCATCACGAAGACACTCGACGACTACAGGAGTTTTGTAGAGGAAAGAACAAAGAGTAAAGAGCGACAACAATCGCTTGAAGAAAAAGCAAAGAAAAACTGCTGTCTCTCCAGTCATTTAGATGCTGTTGCCCTTGACATCTGGTTCCATCCAGAGGACGCGACTTTTGTTTGTCCCCAGTGCTCTCCGTTGCTATGCGTATCGAAGGAGCCGTGACGTCACACTTAACAGCCCCATGCCATGCGCCACTCGGTAAACGCCGATGTCGCGTACGACAAAGACGACTATCCCGTACGCGAAATAGTTGAGAACTGCATGACGTGGACCTGACGGCAAGGACAACTGCGAGGAGGCCCCTTTCGGTACCCCTGACGGGAAGGAGAACTGCAGAAGTCGACGAAGTCGAACGAGGAGGCCCCTTTTCCGTACCCCATACTGCAAAGTGCCATTGATGGATACCAGGGAGTCGTACTCAAACTAGGGAGGTGACACGGCACAGAAATCCGTGTCACAGGGGTTGACTCGCACCCGTGACCCCTCGTTGTTATTTTTGGAATAGTTCAGTCCAGTCCAGTCCGAAAGGTCATACTCGGATCGACTCGCCTTCTGTACTTCACCTCCAAGCGTGCAACGCAAGACCCGCAAAGTATGATTTTTCTGTGGGGAACGATTTTGCCATTGATCAAGTTTTTATTGGAGTGCTCAGGCATACTACGATTGCTGAGACGTCCCGAGCACGCTTGTTCAGGTTCTCTATTTTTGACGAGCCGGTCCTATAGCCCCTACATTGTATCTAACGACGTAGGAGCTGACAATGTAAGAGGATTTCCCTGGAAATAATGATGATGGTGGTGTGACTGCTGCAGGAAAAATGCTGGCTGTTTATGACAGTATGACTAGATGTACAATGTAGCTCTCTTGTATGGTAATTAACCCCTGCTATAAATGTGTTGTTTAGGAAGACTGGTGTATTGTGCAAGTCATAAAGAAGAAATGGGGCAGATACACGACTTACAATTTTCAAAAACCAGCTTCGTGTTATGTCTAATTTGTGTCAAAATTGTAGTATTTAGACATGACAATATCATTGGCTGTACTTCTCTAATATGGTACATAACCCCTGCTATAAATGTGTTATTTAGGCAGACTGGACCATTGTGCAAGTCATAAAGAAGAAATGGGGCAGATACACGACTTACATTTTTCAAAACCTGGCTGCGTGTTATATGTAATTTGTGTCAAAATTGTAGTATTTCAACATGACAATATCACTGGCTGTACTTCTCTTATATGGCACTTAACCCCTGCTAGAAATGTGTTGTTTAGGAAGACTGGTGTATTGTGCAAGTCATAAAGAAGAAATGGGGCAGATACACGACTTACAATTTTCAAAAACCAGCTTCGTGCTATGTGCAATTTGGGTCAATTTTTAGTATTCGGATTAACCTAGGATACGACTCTGAACAGTTCTGAACAGTTACCGTAACACTACACGCCGTCTCATAACTGCTGATGTTGCCATCACTGCTATCAAGTAGTTCGGACATGGCAGGAGCTAAACAAATTGCTGGTAGTCTTTCAAAGAATACTGGCGAGTGATGGGCTGTAAACGAAATGTGCTGCCTCAATAATTTCAAAAACTAGACACCCGGTACCCATGCGGTACGCTTGGAGGTGAAGTACAGAAGGCGAGTCGATCCGAGTATGACCTTTCGGACTGGACTGGACTGAACTATTCCAAAAATAACAACGAGGGGTCACGGGTGCGAGTCAACCCCTGTGACACGGATTTCTGTGCCGTGTCACCTCCCTAGTTTGAGTACGACTCCCTGATGGATACCTTTTGCACCTGGAACGACCCCTTAAACGCTGTCGCGGCGACTATCCCGTACGCGAAATAGTTGAGAACTGCTGACGTGGACCTTTTGCACCTGGAACGGCCCCGTAAACGCTGTTGTGTCGGCGGAGTGAATGTGCAGGGTATACCGGTACTAGGGTGAAAAGAATTGCTGCAAAGACGTCCCCTCTAGTCTCTACTACTAGGCTCTAGGCCTTTGCCTTTGGTAGTTTGGAGACATCGTCGGCGAACTAAATGCGCAGGGCGAAAAGAATTGCTGCAAAGACGTCCGCTCTTGGCCTTTGGAGACATCGTGGGAACTCCTTCCGGTACTATACAAACTGCTGACGTGGCCGTGGACATGTACATGGAGAGTCATGGTGGGAATTCCTTCCCGCACCCCCGTACCGCAAAGCCAAAGCCAACGGTGGGGAAGGAGAAGTGCAGACGTGCAGGAAGACGAACGAGGAGGAACCAGGACGAGCGAGCAATGGCAGGACCAGCTGGACCGTAAGTAATAGCTGAATTGTGCATGACAACTTGACATCCATGCGGCACTCGCCACTTGCCACTGCATATTTCTTGTCCACTAACAATGTCTCTCCTCTGCCCCCTGTGTGTCCACGGCCCTGTTTCTGAATTGGCCCGATGAATCGAATGTCTTCCGCAACTGGAACGGCCCCGTGAACGCTGTCGCGTCGGCGACTGAATGCGCAGGAGGGAAAATATTGCTGCGAAGACGTCTCCTCTAGACGACGGTAAGGCACCCCATTGATATGTTGCCAGTGTGTGCCAGGGTATCGCGCGATGGTGAATGAGGAATGATGAAGGGTACGGTGGGACTGTAGCCCTGTTACCTTCTACTAACACGTTATCAGGTCGAGAGCGTATTGTAGTCACTCTCTCTATTCCTGTACTTCATTACGTTTAAGGTGTACGTATAACTTCTCAAAAAAAATTTAATGGTCTACAGTCGTGTCGGAAGGGTACGGTGGGACTGTAGACATGTTACCTTCTAACACGTTATCAGGTGGAGAGTGTCTCGTACTCACGTTATCACTATTAGGGAGGTTCCGAAGTACGATTTTTCGTGCCAAAATCCGTGGAGGCGCTACGGATATTTTATACGTCGTTTTCGAGCAGTGAAAAGTTCCGGGGTACGGAACGTATGTGTTTGCCGTCATTGCCTAGGTTACGATCGCAAACACGTCACATTCCCGCGCTATGCCTTTCTATTTTGAAAATTTGTACCGAAATCAAAACTTCCCGCGGAAAATCGATGTTTCTCGTACCAAATTTGTACGCGAAAATCTTTCTGCACCCGATGACGCAAAATCTCCATACGAAACATGGTTCGTATGAAAGCCAGTCCACACGGATTCTCCGTGCCGAAAAATCGTATGGAGCACGTCTGGAAAAAATCCGTAGCGCCCATACGGATTTTGGCACGGAAAATCGTACCCCGGAACCTCTCTATTATCAGGTCGAGAGCGTATTGTAGTCACTCTCTCTATTCCTGTACTTCATTACGTTTCAGGTGTACGTATAACTTTTCCAAAAATTTAATGGTTCACGTCTTCAGATAGAGAGCGTATTGCACCCACTGTCTAGTCTCTGTAGTGCATTGAGATTTTGTTGATCGAACATGAAATGGATACACAGACAAAGCCAGGCCAAGTACATGGCGAGATGTCGCCAGAAGAACGTCTTCAGGTAGAGAGCGTATTGCACCCACTGTCTAGTCGATTTTGTGGATCGCACATGAAATGGATACACAGACAAAGCAGGCCAAGTACATGAGAGAGTGGACGATGTGCAGATCGACACGGCCTGCGGGTACTTCATTAAAGTTACCCGTGACATAACTAGGATAAAAGTTAATCACTGCAAAAACATTGCCAAGTATGTGAGCACTTTGGACTTGACAGAAGAGTGCACGGGCGACGTTGACAAAACATACCACGGTGACTGTCACTATCATGACAGCAGGGCACATCGCACGCAGCATCGCAGATCGTGTCGAATTGCGCATCATAATATTGCAAAATTGCTCCTGTGCATGCAAGTGGATTTCATTGCACTTCTCAGTTTGGGAAATGCTCGATTATGACAATTCTCCGTGTGAGTGCACTAGCCCTGAACAGACATGTAGGTGAACCGTTTGTGGTGTCTCATAGCCTACCTCACGACCTGCTTTCTTTCTTCATCACTTGTATCTTGCAGGTATATCATCCCGTGACGACCGCATTGAAGTCTGAATTTGAAGTGTGAAGATGCTTCAGCAACCACATCGTACTTTTCCATTGCTTTCATTGTGCTTCTACTGTGCATGTGTGTAACTTGTGGGGTAAACATGTGATGACATTGTATGCTGGCGACACGGTCAGATGTTCATGCGTCTAACGTACACCTGCATGTTATGCATTGAAAAG